GTGAGGCTCTGAAAATGGGCTATGCGTATGTCATACATAATACTTCTAAGGGGTAAAAGTTTAATTATATAGCTTAAAGTTCTTTGAATTCGTTTAAAAGAAATTTTAACTGTACTTAAATTTCCACTTCTAATCTTTTAAAAATTACATAATCATGACTTTGAGAGAAATACCCATTTTTAAACAGACCTATTCAGTTAAATGCTTTAGAAAAATGTGAACAGGAATTAATAAGCACCTGATAACCTGTGAGGTATCTTTTTCATGTAATAGAACTCTTACAGACTTGAAGTGTGTGCCTTAGTTACTCTATTTCAAAGAGAAATCTATCTTGTGACTTGTATTACTTCCCGCTTGGTAACATTTATTTCCAGGTGTCAGTTGGTAAAAGAACACAAAGGAAGCAATTATGAAGGTAGAAGGGGCTTCGGATTGAATTTTAATAGTGGGCTTACTTTACTAGGTTCTATTTATGGCTTGAATTTATAATGTCTTGTAGATCATGAATCTAATACTGTCCTTTGATGGAGTGATGTAGGCGAGATCACTTTATGATCATTTTTGTTGACATGTGGTAACTAAAGTACTCTGGAATAGAAATGGCTTTTTGTGGTGTTTCTTTAACAAAGAATCCTATTGTGACGCTAATATTAAATACATATATAGTATGTGTGTATGTGTATTACCTATTTATTTTTCATATGTATGTTGGGGTGCTCATGTTACTGCCTGCATTTGGAAGGGCAGAGGACAACTTGAGGGAGTCAGTTCTTTCAAGTCTTTGTAATCGTATGCTATCTTACTTACACACAAGCACACACACACAAACTCATGCACACATATACAAAGTCATATGCACTCTTATATATTGGTAAATTTGTCTTTTTATATTTTCTGGGTTTTTGATACTGTTGTAAAGATGCTGTTTTTACATTTAATTTCAGATTGCTCATTTTTAGTATATAAATGTTTTGCTTTTATATTTACTATTTTATGCATATTTATGTGTGTGTGGGTTGTACATGCCACAGTGCTCATTTGGAGGTCAGAGGATATCTTTGTGTAGTTTAGTTTCTCATTCTTTTATGTGTATGCTAGAGTCAGATTGCTTCATTGTGCTGTCTTGCTGTCCCCTGAATACATTTCAATAATTAAATAACATTTTTCTTGCTTTGTTATATGGCAAGAGTTTTTCGTATGATAATGAATAGAAAGAATGAAAGAAATAGATATTTTAAATTTATGTTAGGCTATGTCTAATGGCTCCAGGAATAGAATCCAAAGTATAGTATAGTAGAGTCTTCGACAGTAAGGTCACAATTCAAGGCCTATCTAGGCTAAATTCAAGGTGTCAATTCAAGGCCATTTTGGAAAAGTTCATGAGAACTGGTCTTAAGTGAAAACCAAACAAGGAGGGAAAAAAATGAAAACGGTGCACTGAGAGCTTAGCCCAGATCTAGAATGTCTGTCTGGTGTCCCCAGGCCCTGGGTCCAATCCTAAGTACCATATAGAATACAGTGAATGACAAAAACAAAGAAAAAAAATGTTTCAGATTTTCATAATGTGTGTGTTTTGTATGCGTGTGGGCATGCATGTATATACAAGGGCACAGATTACAGATTATGTGAGAGACTTTTTCTGGGGAGATTAAACACTTACACAGGTCTGCTCATTCCAGAAAGCAAACCTACAACAGATCAAAGTTAACAGTTGCACTGAAGTCCACTTTGGTGAACCAATGAGTTTTTAGTGGTTCTACTAGCAGGAGTATGTGTGAGAAATTACTTTCAGAAGCAAGATGAATCAAAAGCAGCTGTATGACCAAAAAGCCCACTCCAGCACATGATGACTCATGAAAGCAGTATCCCTGAAGCTTTCTGTATAGCTCCCAAGCTGCTCAACAGGTCTGAGAAACCTTGATGACTTAGCTAGGCAGCATCTTCTCCAGCAGTTGTTTACTGCTTCTATCACTCTGATGGACTCTTTGGCGACTCCTGCAAATGTCAGCTTCCCCCGACACATGAAGTTTGCTTAACTCCCAATCATGAAGTCCCTTCTCATCTCATGAAAGGAAGGTTTCAGTTCAGAAGAAACTGCTACACAACAGTACATGGTGGGCCCACATGTATGTGAAGGTCAGTGTATAGACAAACTCAGGTGTTGATCTTTGACTTCATGCTTGAGACAGGGTTTCTAGTTGTTCATTGTTGCATAGGTCAACTTAGTTGGCCTGGAAACCTCGAGAATTCTCTGTTCATTCCATCTCATCATTGGCGAGATGACAAATGTGTGTTACAGCATCTAGTTTTATATGGGTTCTAGTGATCTGAACTCTGGCAAGTACTTTATCCACTGAACCATCTTTTCAACTCATGGGTTAAAATTTAAATTAAATTTCTTTTTATTGGCATAGAGTTCCTTATTTTGTCTTGAGGCAGTTCAGTAATTAGTAAATCTTACAAAGTATTTGTTTTATCTCAGTTGAGTTGGTATGATGTTAGTTCTTTTTATGGTTTTTGAGAAGGAGTTTCTCTGTACAGCCTTGGCTGTCCTGGAACTCACATGGCTCCCTGTCTCTGCCACCCAAGTGTTGGAATTAATGGTGTGTGCTCCCACCACCCAGCTAAGTTCAGAATTTTTTTAAATCAGTTTTTTCAAGGTCTGTAAGATCTAGTCTAATGATCCTTCGGCTGTTCCTATTACTGTTATTTTGTGCTTTCTTTATAATAAGAGGATTAATTATTTTATTGAAGCTTTCAAGTAATCAACTTTTTCTTTTGTTAGTTTTTCTTGTTGAATTTCTGTTTTTTGGTCATTGACCACTTTAAATATCACCCCCCCCCCATGCCCTACTGATTTTGTGTAGTATTGATATGAAAACAGATAAGTGGTTGGAATATAAAGTCCAGAATTTGAACATAGATGATCAGCTGAGTTTTTGAGAATAATGCAGAAACAATTTTGGGGGGCAGGGAATGTCTTGTCAAAAAATAGGGTAGCCAGATGTTATTAACAAACAAACAAACATGGAACTATTTTTTTATTCCATACTTAAAGCAAAAATAGTTTACTTCAGAGTGTATAATAGATTTGAATATAAAAACCCAAACTATAAAATCTATAGTTAGAAAAACAGAAGAAAATCTGTGGTCTCAAGTGTAGTCAGAGATGTTTTTTGAATTGCAAATAAGCCAGTATGAATAGTAAGAGAAAAAAAATGTAACAAAGTAGACTTTATGAAAATAGAGCACACACATGTGCAGTTCATGAATGAAGTCCAAGAGTATCAGTCTTCAGTCAGATACTGTCCATCCACTGTAAGATTACATGTCATAGATACTGACCTGGGTAAAATGTAAAAGAGTGACAATATTAAATTCTGAAATAACCAGCAATCTATTGCTGGTAGAGGTCTGAAATGGCACACAATCTTTCCACAGTATACTTCAGAAATGTCTTACAAAGCTGAGTGCGCATGCCATATGATGTTGTGATAAACTCCTAAGGATTTCCTCAGGATGATTGAAAATGAGTAGTCACACAGAGATTCAGGACGCTCATGATTGTCTCCCTCCCTCAGTAGAGAGACCTCGGACAGGAGCCTACTTAGGTGAATTAGGTGGATTTATTGTGGTTGTCCTCGTGAAAAGCAGTGAGCTCTTGATGCAGGGAACAGCATGGGCGAACCATGAAAAGATACTGAGGGAAAGAATCCAGATATGAATCTGTACTGTATAATCCATACTGTATGAAAATGAAATCTAATCTATAATGGCAAGCAATTAAGTGGGGTCCTGAGGCTAGAGGTTGGCAGTGGAAAGGGACATTGATAGCTGAGCTATTTGGAGTCTCTGGGAAACTTCTTGATTGTGGTGACAGTTATGTAGGTATGGTGTCAAGGGTGTATTTTATTACTGAGAGCAGAGCTTTTCCTTCCAGTAATTAGCAAAGCTGGCTGTACTTCAGTATCACCTACTAAGCATTTAAAATGCACATAACCTCTGCTCCACTATATAAAAGGAGTCAGCTACCAGCAGGAGGCCGGCTTCTTTGAACTTTTAAAAGTTTCCAAAATGCTTTTAATTTCTATCTGGAGTTTGTAAATAATGTTTTCTTTATATTACTTTTCCTTTTTAAGACTCTCAGAACCTAAGCATCCAGAGTGTGCTCTCTGCTGGCTCTGAATGGATTGTGAGGGTAATGAGCTAGCTCCTCTAAGGTGCAGTCTAGGTGGCAGACAGATACTGAGAACAGTGTATGTAAACAAGCGTTATTTGTAAACTGAAGCAAATGCTGTGGGAACACAGGGTAGAAATCCAACCATTTCCTGTCCCTTCGTCTTACTGCAGGTCAGTATTCAGAAAGTTTGCTTTTCTAAAAGCACTGAACATTATTTAGAATAACAGAAAGTAACGTGGCTAGTTTGGGAAACATAGCTTGCATTCTGCACTTTTTAAAAGTATTTCTTCTTTGTTAGCATCTTTGTATTATTTTAAAAAAATCAAGAAATCTCAATTTAATGTCAGTGACAACATATTAAAATATCTGTGTGCTCCCAGATTCCTAGTTTGTTAGTGTCAGTCACTTACCTGCTACATATTTTGTGTTCATCTGTGTTTAGGAAATTCAGGCTTACAGAACATTGAGCACTTTAAACTCCACTGTTTCTCCGAACCATTAGCATGTTCTGTTATTACCCTTAAGATGGAGTTAGAAGACACAGAGAGACTCAGTTTGACCAGTGAACCTCGTTTCCATTGGCCTCTATTTCCATGAATAGGTATCTAAACAAGTAAATAAAATTTCAGTAGCACTAAAGATATCATACGGCATATTTTAAAGATGGCAATCTGTAAATGGAGTTTATATATGATTTTGTTGTTTATATATAGCAAACCCATATTTTACACTTATGTAGTAAACTTAGAAATAGTTATTCTCTATTTGTGTATCTTACTGGTAGGTGAAAGTGAAATGTCACATTTGTCTTGTGTTTCAGAGCAGAGCAGAAGAGATGATTTAGAAGCTTTAGGCCATATGTTCATGTACTTCCTGAGAGGCAGTCTTCCTTGGCAAGGCTTAAAGGTAATTGTTTTTTTTTTTTTTTTTTGTATCTCTTTATTGGAGTTCACAAAATCTGTATTAAGGCTTTTTGCAACAACTAAATAGTTTTTAAAACACCACATTGTTGTACTCTTCTTTCCTCCTTCAGGCTGACACATTAAAAGAGAGGTATCAGAAAATCGGAGACACGAAGCGAGCCACACCGATAGAAGTATTGTGTGAAAACTTTCCAGGTAATGGACAGTGATGACGTTCATAAATGGAAACATATGCTTATGCATAGAAAAAAGGTTAATTTTCATTGTTTAAGTTTATAAATACTTTTCGTGTGCTTTGAAAAACATGACTCCTATAAAAATGATTAAAAGGTTGTCGACGATTACTGTATAGATTGCAGGAACCGTTTGCTCCACAAGATAGCATTACATGAAGAAAATTCCATCTTTCAATTATGTTAAGACCAATTTAAGTCATGTTTCCTTTAACAATTCATTTTTAAAAAGTTGAAATACCATTTAGTTTACTCTTATTAGAGTCTCAATATCAGGTTTAGCAGAAGTTATTAAAATATTAATTTTATTTTCAGAGTACTATAAAATCTTATTTACTAACTTTAGGGAAATATTATCTTACAAAACTGTATGAATTTTGAAAATAATTCTCCTTTAAGCACTTATGGCAACTTATTTAATTTACTTAAATAAGGTTCCTTAATCCAAAATAAGAAATGGTAATGAATTGTTAATTAAAATTTTATTAAGTTACTGAGGCCTGTCTGGGCCTTGCTCTGGACCCAGGTTGGCCTGGGGCTTGCTGTCTTCCTGCTTCAGCCTCTTGAGTGGCATGTATCACCAGGCATAGCTGTTGATAGTTACTAAATATCTGTTGTGGCTTGCACAGCAACATGAAATGCAAAGAAGACTGACCTCCTTCAAGACTGAGGTCATAGATCACTGGTCACTGGCTTGTCTCTGTAATGGAATTATAGTAGCTATAGAGTCAGTGCTTGGGAATAGCATGTATCTTCTTATTCATTGCTAGTAAACTGCATTTTCTTTCTTGCTATAATTTCTATAAATGGAAGATTAAACAATATTGGTTTCAGTTCTAGAAGTTTAGGTTAGGCAGAATGAGTGCTACATTAGTAAGACTATACACAACTCTCCAAGAAAAATGGAGGCGCCAAGATAATTAGTCCTGTAGTTAGACAGCAAGTAGAGCAGTGAGAAAGTCCCTCTGTGAGGAATGCCACAGGGCACTATGGTGCATTCTGAATGATTCTGAATGCACAGGGGCAGAAAAATCTCCATGTCTGAGATTCCAGCATTGGTAAACTACCATTTCTTTCTATATACCCTTTAGTCCATGATGGTGGGATACTCTTTATAACAAGTTAATGACTTTACCCATTAGATTTTTGTTTTTAATTTTCCTTTCTTTTAGAATGTATAAACTTAAAAAAAGTGATACGTAGAAATTTGTATAGTACCAAGTAATTATTTGATTAGAAATTAAAAGAAGGCTTCTATTGTATTTCTGTGTCAGATTTTTGAGATGCTTTTGATTATTTTGCCAGCTCAGCTAATTAACATGGTGAAGATTAGCAATGTTCTATATGGGCGAGTTAGTGTATGTTACTGATACTGAAGGAAACAGCTACCCAGTGCAAATGCTCTCATGTGAACCGGCTCTAGCAGGGTTTTAAATATATTTTAAAATATGCATGAAGTATGTCTTGTGATTAAACAATCATGTATCATGAGCCACTAATTCAACCTCTAGTGCAATTCAAGGAATCTATTCAAATACCATAAAAAAAGTTCTAGCCTTTGGTAATAAATGTTCCAAACATGATGGTTAAACTAAATGTCTTACTTCTTTTCTTCTTGTTTCCATTCCCTCTTTCTTCCCCCTTTTTAGTTTTAGTATAATTGAAAATTTTTAATTGAAATAGAATTTGGTTAACTTTTTATTTAGTATTATAGAGATATATAGTCAGAATTATTTTTATTTCCTTTCTAGAAGAAATGGCAACATATCTTCGTTACGTACGAAGGCTAGATTTTTTTGAAAAGCCAGATTATGATTACCTAAGAAAACTTTTTACTGACTTGTTTGATCGCAAAGGGTATATGTTTGATTATGAATATGACTGGATTGGTAAACAGTTGGTGAGTACTTTATGCTCTTATTGTAGAAGATTGTTCACAGTATTTTTAATTGTACAGAATTCTCATTGAAGATTGATGGCAGTTTGTAAGGAGTTCCTCTTTTTTCCTGTTGGGACATTTAAGTTATATTACTGTATTTCCTGCTTTTTATAAAGGGCTATTGATTTATTTTGGGCTTTCTTAATTTGCTTCTTGGTATCAAATATAATATTTTTGTATAGTATTTATGATATTTTTCTGCAGTAACTTATGTTCTGCTTTGATCAAAGTTAAGAATTTTAACAGCTTCTCTGAGTCAAGATATTAAGTTCATAATTTTATTATTTAAGAAATATTCCTTTAGTTTTGTAAACATGTAATTTATTTATTAATTTTGGATATAAGATTTATAAATACATTTTTATTTTTAGTATGAGAAAGTAACTTTAATAAGAACATTAGGAGACACTTTAAACCAGTGGTTGTCATCCTGTGAGTCACTTTGGGGCCGAACAACTCTTTCACAGGGTCACATGACCCTTTCACAGGGGTTGCATATCAGATATCTTGCATATCAGATATTTACATTAGGATTCATAACAACATCAACATTACCGTTATGAAGTAACAGCAAAAATAATTTTTTGGTTAGGATCACTACAACCTGAGGAACTGTATTAAAGGGTCGTAGCATTAGGAAGGTTCAGAGTCACTACTTTATTCACATAAAAGTTAGTACACTAAAAAATGATGAAATGTTTTTAAAATACTTGAAAATGTAGCCCTGTTCCTTTTGTTTTCTCTGGTGGGTTTTAATCAGTGTGCTTGAGAATAATGTTGCTTCTTGAAGACTTAATAGCTTAGCAATGTCATTTATTGATTCATTGATTGTTTTAAACAGTTAATGGAAGTTTTAGATGGGAATTCTGAAGCAGGCTATTCCAGCACTAATTGTTGTTTTTGTTTAGCCTACTCCAGTAGGTGCAGTTCAGCAAGACCCCGCTCTGTCATCGAACAGAGAAGCACACCAACACAGAGATAAGATACAGCAGTCTAAAAACCAGGTTTGGTGCCTTTATGGATATGAAATCTTTCAGTTACTTTCATTGTCGACATGTGCATTTCTGTTCAGTGGATAACACATACACACACACATATACAAGCATTGATAGACTCGTGTTTTCAAGAAACCTTCAGTTCTCACATTAGTTTCAGATAATCATCAGTTCTTAATTCATGGTAAGAATTAGTCACAACTGAGCCATATTTGGTGATTAAGAATGGAAGTGTTAGAATTATAGCAACGTTTGCTCTCTTTCTAGTTAGTTTAATAAGTTATTTATTAAATTTGGCTGTTTAAAGTGATTTTTTATATGTGTGTTTAGAAATACAGAAGCAAAGAATACAGTTTATAAAAGTGATTTAAACTGAGTTGAATAGGTACAGTGTTCAGAGCTTACTTCTCCCTGGAAACAGATATAATGTGAATGTAGTTTCATTTCACCCTATTTAAATTAATTTCTCAAGGCTGGTTCTCTCACCTGTAAAATAGTGATAATACATGTCAACTTCTAGAATATAATATATTCTCAGTAATTCTGAACTCATGGATGGTATTGCTATTTCATAATTTTTACAGTAAATGCACAAATAGCTACATTTTCAAGTAAACTGTACCACTTGAAATATATTAATAAAGTGCCATATACATTTGCATATTTACAGAAAAGGTTGTTTGTTTGCTTTTGAAGTGACCCTGTAGAGTAAACACACTTTTTTTAGACAAGTAATGGAATAAAGATAAATTAAAGTAGATTTTAAGAGTAGTGAGCAGGAGACAGAGGAAAGACAGAGGAGGGAAGAGCAGGGACGAGCAGCAGAAAAGCAGAAGCTAAAAATCATAAGTGTTTGTTTGAGGAATGCCAGTCAAGTAGTGTGCTTGGCACAGAGTGTAAGTTGAGGATCAATAAGCACGTGATACTGAAGAAGAGCGGGGCGCTCTGTTTCCTGGGGAGTGAATGGATGGAGCTCGGGTTTTTCAGCAGTGTTTTCTTGTCTGTTTTGCAGGAGGATTTTCAATTTGCTTAAGAATTTTTCTGTCTTCTAGAATCTGAGTGTGTCTGGAAATTCTTTGGTTTAGCCCTGCTTAGATTCTGTCCTGGTGCTTTTTATTCTTACTTCTTTTATCCTTTTAAAGTTCAGGTGATGATTTAAACAAAATAAAAACTAAAAGATAGAGTACCATTTATTACTGCTTCACTGCATTAAATATTACTACACTTATTTAACAGTATGTGTGATAGCCAATTTAGAAAGATTTGTTTTTAAAGTTTGACATAGAAATATTGGCACAATCGAAAGTCTCATGAATTAATTTAACCATAAAATATAGTTAGTTGATAGCTTGAATGATCTGACAGGATAACTCTGTAAGTAGAGGGCTTACAAGTTGAGACTTGGTGTTTGTGTCTTCTAAACTAGAGTTTATTTCTTTGGTGTTCCTGAAGATTGGTTCTCTCTAAATTTTTCTGTTCGAGCTCTTGGATATTGTAGTAAGGGAAGTCTTTAATGTTTAATTGCATCATAACTTAAAGATTTTTAGGCTTCTAACTTCTTATTTCAGACATAGTTGGTCATGTAAGCTTTCTAAGTGGGGAGTCTGAGTTTTATTTGTAGTTCTTTTTTCATTAAGGCAGGGAAGCTTTTGTATGTGTTTCAGTGAATCTTTTGGAATAGGACTATGTATAGGATTTGAGACCTAAATGTGTAGCCTCTTCATTTAAGAAAAGTTGGGTGCATAGAAAAAGTTTTGAAATATTTGTGCATCAGTGAACAGTGTTTTATGACAGACCCTATGGTTCACAGTCCAAAAGAAGAAACAGGTGAATTTTTTTAAAAGCTCTGAGCACTTCAGTCACTGCAGACAGAGCAGTCAGTGATTGAAGTTCAGGGTGGCTATAGGTACATGTAAAATGTTAAGTCCAGATTAGGATATATACAGAAGGAGGGCACATAGTTGGTATTGCCAGTTGCCACAGCTGTCTGTCTCAACTTTAATTTATTTCAATGTTAGTTACAAATCCACCAATCTGGCTATGCAGTTAGAGAGTGATGAAAAGACAGAGCTGTCATGGTGGTTTTGCTGGCAAACTTCACGCCATGAGCTTTGTAACTTTTTACTGTACAGCTTAGTTTAGGAAGCTTACTCCCAGAGTCAGCTAACTCCCCATGCCCTTCTACTTATATTTGACATCTGTTCCACAAAGGTTACTATGGCTTCTGGTGTACTTAGGCTCCCTCTAGCCCAGCATAGTTGGCACTTGTGGCAATGTTTTGTGGAATTTGGTTGAAAAAGAAAAAAAAAAAAAGAGCACCAGAGACTTTAGAATATTGCAGTTAGTGTCAAAAGCTTGGTGTCATTATTGAAGCTGGCTCTGGTTGGAATCCTCACTATGCTCTTTACTAGGTCTGTGGTCTTAGGAGAGTGTTGAATATCAGTGTCTTTATCCATGAAATGATGGTGATTCTGTCTAAAGTTACTAATTCAGAACCATGCTTTAAGAACTCTCCTTCTGTTAGTGCTTTCTGCATGTTCCTAACAGAGAAATTGACTGTTCTAAATCCTGCTAGTACAGTGTTAGTAGCCTGTGCGTATTACCATACAGATTTTCCAAGGGATCTAAAACCACCCACAATTTTTACTGTGTTTCATAAAAGAAGGTTCTTTAATTAGAACCAAATTGAAAAAAAAAAAGCAGCAAAGAAGATTCATAATTGTGGGATTGTCACTTTTAAAAATGTTTGTTAATTCTCACAGTATTGGGCATAGTGCTTTTCACTTTTCAGAGAGATTTCCCGTTTTCTCCTGTTATACTTACCATAGAACAGTGACACATTTCTTAGGATCTCAACATTTTAAGGATTATTTTTTTTCACATTGCTAAAAAATAGCTCCTCGTGGAAGAACCATTGAGGACTTCTGTAAGCAAGCACAGTGGCAGTCTTTGGCGCACTCACGTCAGTTTTCCTTTCCCGGTTCTTGGCACATTTCATTTATGAACAGTGGAAAAGATTCCACCAAAGAAAAAGGAGCACCAGAGAATATAGAATATTTGTAGCTAGTGTCTGTGGAATCTATGATGGAATCTATGACTCCCCAAATCCTTTTACTTCTAAAATATTATGTCTCTAACTTGTTTTTATTGCTCATCACTACTCAGTTCAACAATAAAAATTTATCTTTCATCTTCAGAGATAAATAACTATGTATTCTAACTTCAGAATAGTAAGGTTATTTTAATTTTCCTTTTATACATATGTTTTGTAACTTATAAGGATGAGATGTTTAACATATTGGGTTTTTCTTCTTCCATGCATGGCACATGCATTAAATAAATGGCAGTCGGCAGACCACAGGGCAGCTTGGGACTCCCAGCAGGCAAATCCCCACCATTTGAGAGCTCACCTTGCAGCAGACAGACATGGTGGCTCGGTACAGGTATTTTATGATTTTTGCATGAGTGATTATTCCCCAGATTTATACAACTAACCTTTTTTGAGCTCATGGCATGATACTCTATCCTCATGAAAGCTTGTTGCCGAATTCTATCCATAACTCTTCCTTCATTATTTAACCAACAACCAAAGTTAACATGATCCAGAAAGACTACCAGGGATACTGCAATTTTGCCTTGGTTTATTTTTGGAAGTAGATGCAACAGTATGTAAGTCATACTTGTGGCAAGTTAGAAAAAGTGAACTGTAGTATGAGTGGAGCTGGATTGTTGAATAACAAGCTGATATCTTTATTGATTCTCTAAATAATAGAACATTTACAAATCTTTTCCCCCTTTACTGACTTTGCATCCTTTGAATTTCACTCATATCTATCTAAACTTTTTCATCTGTACTCCTTGGAAGGCGGCCTTGTCTGGGCTTACAGAAATAGCTGCTGTGTTATACATTTATAAATACTTAGTAAGCTGTGGTCTCTATACATTTAAGGCAGGTCCTTACTTATGACTTGCTTCTTTCTGTCACTGCCTCTCTGAACAGCTAGCTGCTACTCTGAACTGTCGCAGCCTCTAAGCGTAACTATGTAGCCGTGGTTGTAGAGACAGAAAGGCTCCAGTCTTATAGGTGTCTCTTTAAGGCAGTTATGTAAATGCTAGTGTACAGTCACCAACAAACATTACCTCAGCCTGTTTCAGTTTGAAATCCTTATGTTTTGATTTTGTTGCTCAGTACATTTCCACTTGAATAATTTTCTGTTTTACTAATTTTTCATTCTTTTTAAATAATTTAAATAATTCATTCTTTTTAATAAACTGAATCTGTATTTTACTTAATTTCTAAAAATAAGTTCAGAATTAAGTCTTAATCAGCTCTCCTGTTTCTTACCATTTCATTTCAGAGACAAATTCTATAACCATCCATTTTTATATATAAATGGATTTGTAGTAATATGTAGTAGAAAAATTTGAATAGTTGGAGTGGCAGACTTAGAGGCAAGAGTGCCTGAATTCATATCATTGGTAAAGTTAAGTGAGCAAAGTATATTGAATTTTTATAAAATACTTGTGTGCGGTTTTACTTGTTTCTGAGTTCTCTTGTTTGTGTTGTGTGCACATTTTGCTAGTGCTCAGGGCGACCTGCAGCAGCTGAGTCTCTGATAGAAATCTGTTCTAAATAGCATCATTTCAAATCTTGTTTTCCTGTCCTCTTAATTATCTCATGTGTCTCCTGGGGTGAATTAGTTTGATGTTTTTATCACTTTAGTAGTTTGTGCTCTATTTATTTTCCCCATAGAGAACTTGTACTTTTTTCCTTTCCATTCTCCAAAACTTTTCTGTCTTTTGAGACTCTGTTGTAGTAATTGTTTAAAGCGGCCTCTGGTTAATCTGACGATCTAAGCTGCAGCGGCTCTACCTAGCCTAGCCGCCATGTTTCTCGGCCAGAGGCCATGTGTGTGCTGCAGCTAGAAATGGCCAACTAGAAACACTAGCCCTATCACCCATGAGACGTCAGCATGGGAGATGGCTCAATCTCCCACCCTGTCTCTGCA